ACTACTTTTTGTATTTTTAGTAGAGATGGGGTTTCACCATGTTGGCCAAGCTGATCTTGAACTCCTGACCTCAGGTGATCACCCAGCTCAGCCTCCCAAAATTATCTTTCAATTTTTAAAACAGCAAATACTGATAGGTACAAAAAATATACAAAAGTCTTTGGGGTCCTCAATAATTTATTATACTGCAAAAGGGCCTTGAAAATAAAATATTTGAGAACTAGTGGTATAAGGTAACAAATACCAGTTACTTAGATTATATGTTGTATTAGAGACATGCCCAGTACAAAAATAGACTATGGGGACTCCAGAGGGGGAAAGATGGAAAAGGGTGTAAGAGTTGAAAAATTACCCACTGGGTACAATATCTAGTATTTGAGTGATGGATACACTAGAAGCCCAACTCCCACAATTATGCATGTAATGCCCATGTAACAAACAAGCACATGTACATCTCTGAATGTAAAATAAAGTTCTAAAAAGACTGAAAAAAAAAAGATGAAAAACAAAAATGCTGAATACTGTCTCCAAAGTCTAAGAATGAGAAACTCTGTTTTCTTCCTTAGAATTTGCTACATGTTCCTATAGGTTTTATATAGGTTTTAAAGACATTGACCAGAAATTTTCTGGAGGTCTTTCATTCATATCTTTGGCAGCAGGGTGAAAATAACTCCAGCAGCTATTACTTATTTAGCTAATGCACTGCCAGACACTCTGGTAAGCACTTCACGTGCATGACCTCACTAACTGTTACAACTTTATGAGTTTAGAATTATTTAGGTTTGTTAGGAATTTTTTGAAAAAAGAAAAAGGCAGAATTATTTTATCAGTTTTCATGTATCTTATATGAGAGAGAGGGACAAAGAGAACATTTTTCTCTAACTGTCAGACACTGTCTTAAGCATTGGAAATGTCAAAGTGAACAAGACAATACAGGTTCCTGATCTCATAGACGTTACATTCCGGTGGTTTAGACAAATGATAGAAATGTAATTAAATCATTAAGATAAGTACAACGAATAATATAAACCTATGTATAAATAGCACCTATGATGGTCAAGGATGATTTCAGTGAGAAATCAACATAAGTTCTGAGATATGAAAGCCAGCAACTGATAATATACATGAGCCGGAGAGAAAAGTAAGAGCAAAGGACCTGTGGCTGGGATACATTTGTTAAAATTCTAGAAGGGAAATGAAGTACACATAGCTGAAGTGTTGCGACTGAGATAGAGCATTGCAGGAGATGCTGGATATATACGCAGGGGCTATATGCTGGAGGGTGTTTTAGACCACAGCTGAAAGACTGAATTTAACGCTAAGTTTTATTAGAAGCCCTTATGCTAGTGACTAGGATGCTCTGCTGCTGTTTAAACATGAATTAAAAATTCATGTTCTTTCAACTCTGCCAATAACTGTAACAGCATAACTGTTTCAAAAGAGAGTCAGAAAAAAAAAAAAACCTAGAGTTGATTTTAAAATACGTAAGAATTGCTTTGTAGGAACAAAAATATTTGTACATCCCACGTGGTTTTTAGAAGAAGGAAAGTCAAACCTATTTCTCTAAAGGGTAGGAGAAGTTGGAAAACCCAACAATGAGCCTAGTGAGTCAACCAAGTGAAATTTCATTTTCGGGAACCAAAACAGTACATCTTCTCTTTGGGTATGTATTCACATGTGAGTTTTATTCATTTCCTATTGATTGACTAATGCCTGGGGGGAAATGGAAAAAATGTGGAAAATTGCAAGTAAAAATTTGGAATTTGCTGTGAACTTGTAATGGATATATAAAGAAAAACTGCAACCCCAATATTAGAAAGGGCCAATTGAATGAGAAATAGATAAAGCTGATGCTGGGCTTGGAAAATTAGACAACCATATATATTTTTTAAGTTTAAACAAATAGTATTCTTCCACTCCCCAAGATAGGCTGAAAACTATAAATTCCAATACCTAAAACAGAGATTGCATAAAAATGGAATGAACTTTGTAAGGGGAATGTCAGAGAGTTGGCATACCAATTTTTTTACCAAGAAGCTTTAGCTGAACCCCCCAAAAAGGGAAAATTTTGTTTATAACAGATGAAGAAGATAGTTAAACCTCAGTAAATAGGTTTTGGCATTATAAGAGAGAAAACCCAGATTCACAGTTGATGAATACGTAAACGCTCTATTATACACACTTTAAAGAGACAATGAATAAAAAATATTGTTCCATCACAGAGAGTAATTATCACTCCAAAATATATTTTCTAAATGTATTGACCCTTGAATTGAGGGAAAATGTATAAACACTGATATCTTTTAATGTTATGCTTGCTTTAATCTATCTCTATACTAAAGTAATAACTGAGGCATATTAAAAATAATTACTGTTTTAAAATTTTAGAGATACATACTGTAGAAAAGAAATGGAAAAGAGTTAGAGTCACTTGAACAATTTGACCATAAAGGCACAGGCTCTATTAAGAACCATTGGCAAGCTTCAGCTTTCTGGTGTGTTTTTGTTAAAAACAAAATAGAATAACTATTTCTAACTCAGGAGAAATTGTGTACACTCTGGTTTGTGGGCTTCCTTGGAATCAAAAGAAAAGCTGGCAACATTAGACCGACATTCTGCAATAAAATAGGGGCTACTTCCCCTTCCAGATTGGGCATGAATGTCTCTGCTCTTTACGGTTCTTTCCCAACACCCCTGATGAGCCCCAACACCCAGCACCCAGGTCTGGCTTCATTCATTGATACAATCTTTCTGAACCTTGCTGGCATTTGGAGCCCCTGAGTCTATAACATTGGACAGATCTCAGTGGAAACTAAACAGTTAGGATTTCTTATGCAGTGCCTTCTTCATATATCTGGATATTTGACTCTTTATCTTTCTTATACTTGAGGAAATTACACGTGTATGTAAGCATGTATGCATGTGTGTGTGTGTGTGTGTATTTCTCTCTCTCTCTCTCTCTCTCTCTCTCTCAATACTTACAGCAGGAGAGAGAGAGAAAAAGAAACATCACTCACACGTACTTATGTAGTTATCTCCTCAAATATTTAAATGTTCCCTTCTACACTCAGAACCTGGTGAAGACAGAGTAAAAAGCACAACAAAAACAGCAACCACGTCCTTTGGTGCAGAAAAATTACAAGCCCATAGGTGATCTTGATTTTAAATGAAACTTCTCAATAACTTCTTATGGTACGGATGACATAATTTTTTAAAATAAGGGACAATTTCTCTATCTTGGAATCCCTCAGCCTTTTGGTACCTGTTTGCTTTTGCTGTTGCCAAAGGTTATTGGGAAACAGCAGAAATGACAGATTGTCTGGAGACCATAAGGCTGCTAGCAGCCCAAGGCAGTCCAGGCAGCACCAGGGAGCAAACTTCTACAGACTGCCAGGCCCTGTGCTCTTTAATCAGGACTGCTAAATGATCCAGGTGGCATGAAGTTTGGGCACCTTAGAATAATGCAGAAAAAATAAGTGAATATTCCCTTCCCAACTGTTCCATTTTGCTCTTCTTCACTCAATATAAAATATTTTGGGGCAAAGGAGACCTGTTTTTAAGGAGGAGTCAATTATCCTCTGTTCATCTATAAGAATACAAAGTAATTACAAACCTAAGAAAAAGCAAAACAAAACAACAACAACAACACAAGAAGAATCTGTTTATCAGACACAGAAAAGGGCAGAAATAGCCACAAGGCTAAAGATTTCTAAAGGCACTTCAAATAGAACGTATGATTTTAACCTCTTATTGTACTTCAGATGATTGTTCCCTGCATGAACTAGGTCAAGTCTCTAGACTAATACTCGGCTCCCTCCGAATGCCTGCCTTAGGGGTGCACTTCAGTCACCCCAATGTCTTTTGCAAACTCTAGAATTCCCATCTTAGGTTTATTTTTAATTCTTAGTACCTCCATTAAATTGAAGGTTTATCTTTCCTTATTCCCCCTTACTCTCTTCACTGGCACCCAGGCTTTCATTTGCCTTGCCTGGTACCCACAGTCTTAGGTCCTATCTGCCCCTTACCACACCTGTCACTGGCTCTCAAGACTCTCTCTGGTCAAGTGGTTCACCAGAGAGATATGTATCGAACATAAAATGAACATCACATTAGAGGCAATGTTAATATGGCGTTGAGTCACTTACAAACCAAGCTCAGATCAACAACAAGGACTATACTCTTAATAGCAACAAAATTTTACTAAAACCATAAGAAAGGGAGTGAATAGAAGGGACAGAATGCACTGGTGAGTTCAGAGGCGAATGCACCCTCATGAGCTTGAAAATCAAGAAAAAATGCTCCTCCATCTACCCCAAATGGACAGGTAAAGCTTGAATAAGCAGTCCAGAAGTAGTGAGTATCCTGGGATGGAGAACAAAAAGACAAAGGTGCCAATTTAGAATCTACTGGGGCACATTGTGAGAACAATGAGGAAATGGTCTATTTAAGCCATTTTTTTTTCCAATAGGAGAGCAGTTGTGGAAACTAAGACCATGTTCTAAAATCACATGTCTTAATATATGCATTATTCCCATTCACAAAAAGATCTACTAAAGTGCAGTGCTTAGGAGTATGAATTTTACTTTAAAGAGACAAATTTGAAACATCCACTGACATTAGCTATTTGTGTGAACAAGGTTAAATCCTATATCATGTCTATGCCTTATTTTCCTACTTTTTAGAATAGGAATTTATTATTTAGTTTCTAGACAGATTGGGTAAATTGAATGAGGTAATTCATGGAAAAATTAAATTAAATATCTTGCATATAGAATTATTCAATAATTCAATAATTATATCATTAATTACTCAATCATTTGATGTTTCTGAATCATCCATTTGGTTATATTTGCTGTGTTTGACACGAGTACTAGAAGTATGAGTAATATTGAGTTCCTGGACTCATCATCTCATCATCTGTGAGGAAAGAGAGAAGTTAGCCAATAGTTTTAATACCACATCATATGTAATGTATTGAAGGTAAATACAAAAGGCCTCACCCTGATGCAGTGGAATGAGTAACACCTGAAGCCAAAGGGTTTGCAGTGCTGAGGAGCAATACCTGATTCAGGACTAGGAGGTTAGATCGGTTTTCCACAACACGGAAGTAGGAGCTGACAAAACAGAAAGGATCTTCCAAGAAGAAGGAATCATAGGTACCAAGGTCTCCCAAATAGTTCAAATCGACTTAGCCAAATGGTTCACCTGGAGCACACCTGGCCAGGACAGGAGATAAGATTGGAGAGTTTCCCAAGGACCTGACATTCGTTCAAGACTGGTTTAAGTAGTGACGGTGGAGGTTGTTACTTTCTGCGTGAAAATCACAAGAAAAAAAGAAGGAAGGCAAATGACTTCATAGAGTCTGTTATGATGATTAAAAGCATTGGCTTTGGAGAAAGGGAGACTTTGCATTTTAAACACGGTTGTTACCTTCATAGTTTCAGGTAAGTTAACTGGTGCAAATCTCATCTTCCTTATTTGTGAAATGGGGACATTTTCCTCATGGAATTACAATGGTGATTGAATAAGGTAATGCTAACAAAGCAATTAGCTCAGTGCCTGGCCTATAACACAGATTCTATATTTGCTAGCCCCACTTACCACTGATTATTTTATTAATGGAAAAGGCTTTGTTAGAGACGTCACAATGAAAGGGGTGGCCCTTTATAACATGTGGCCCTACTCCTGTAAACATAGCTGGTTTTACCAAAGCTTCAAAACTAACACAAAATTCTTTTAAGTAATTTGCAAGTTGAGTGGCTTAAACGTTATGCTTGAACTAAGATATCACAAAGGAAATATGAGATAACACTTATTAGTTTCTCACTATGTGTCAGGTATGTAGTTACTATATTATCCAATTATCAACCATACTTTACAAATTTAAAAAGAGAAGAATTAAGTAAATTAGGCAAGTCATCATAAATAATCAGTAATTTATTAATTCAGTGTTTGATTTAAAAGGAAAATTTGAATTGCATTATGTAAGCTGAAAGCTCTTATCTAGAAAATCAGAAAAAAATGTAAATTTTAGTGTTGATTGATTAGTGGTAATATTGGACAAGCTCTTTTACCCTCTCCAGCCCTTGACTTCCACATCTGTAAAGTGAATAGATATGTTTGAGGCATGCTAAAAATTTTATGTTTCTATAATTTTATATTAGCTTTCTATAGATGTATCAGTCAAGCTGGCCTTTTCTACATCTTCTTGGGAAATTTCTGAAACAATTTAATTCAAAAAGCTACTAGAAGTTAATGCATTATCCCATCATAGAATGAAAAATTCCTACCGTTCTTATTCGCACTCCTGACTTCTTTTCCCAGGCAGGCATTACAAATCAATCACCACACTCATTCATGCCAAGACTGGATGAGGCCTGATTATCCCAGTGAAGTCAGAAATGACAGATGAAGTGAAACTTATTTGTCAAGACATCTGCATAGTGATGAAAACCTAGCAAGGAAAAAAAAAAAAAACCTGAACCATTTTGAATACAAAGTTTGCTATGCTGAGGTCAAAATACTGTCGTTATTTTTTTACAACTCCTTGAATTCTGCCTGCCATCAATGAAATCAAGCACCATGTAATTCCTACAGCCTTTCCAGTTATCTAGCCTAACATTAATACCTCTCATTTTGTTTAGTAAACAGAGGACGGGCTTCCTGCACCTTGATTATATTCAATTTGGAGCATGATTATATAATGTATAGAGTTAAATGAGTTTTTCTTACATTTATTCATTCGTTATTCAACAAATATTAGCTAATTTGTTTTTATAGATGAGGCAGTGATCTAGGCACTATAAATAAAATATGACGATGACAGACACAGATTCTACAGTTGAAGTTCCTTTTTCACAATAGATAGGCAAAAACTGTAAAATGATATTAGCAGGTTATAGGAACACAGAGTAGGAGTGTATGAGGCATAAAGGAAGTCTTCCTGAACAACATGAAGTTGAGTTCTAGAGGATGTTTAGTATATTAGAGAAATACAGGTAAAAGCAATATGGTTCCATGATAACGGGACATGAGGAACAAATGTCTAGAGCCAAATGAAAGGATGATAAATTAGTGAAGGAGGGAGAATTCAGTAAGTCTCAGGTACAAGGTGAAAAATGGTAAGAGATAAAGTTGAAGAACAATAAAGGGATCTATTAATAAATGTTGTTGGAAACAAATTGAACTATGGATAACTTTTTAGAAATAAAATAATTTAAACTGACTGATGTGGTTTGATTATGGGCTGGGCCCAGGCCCCCCTTGCTATGTGCAGTCTAGTGACTTGGTGCTCTGCATCGCAGCTACTCTAGCAGGGGCTTAAAGGGGCCAAGATACAACTCAGGCCATGGTTCCAGAGGATGCAAGCCCCAATCCTTGGCAGCTTCTTCATGGTGTTGAGCCTGCAGGTGCACAGAAGTCAAGAATTGAAGTCTAGGAACCTTCACCTGGATTTCAGAGGAGATACGGAAATGCTTGGATGTCCAGGTAGAAGTTTGCTGCAGGGGGGCACTCCTCATGGCAAACCTCTGCTATGGCAGTGAGGAAGGGAAATGTCAAGTTGCAGTCCCCACACAGAGTCCCTATTGGGGCACCTCCTAGTGGAGCTGTGAGAGAGGGCCACCATCCTCCAGACCCTAGAATGGGTTGATCCACTGACAGCTTGTACCATGAACCTGGAAAAGCTGCAGACACTCAATACCAGCCTGTGAAAGGAGCCAGAAGGGAGGCTGTATCTTGCAAAGCCACATGGGTGGAGCTGCCCAAGACTATGGGAACCCACCTCTTGCATCAGCGTGACTTGGATGTGAGACATGGAATCAAATGAGATCATTTTGGAGCTCTAAGATTTGACTGCCCTGCTGGATTTTGGACTTGCATGGGGCCTGTACCCCTTTGTTTTGACCAATTTCTCCCATTTGGAGTGGGTATATTTACCCAATGTCCGTACACTAATTGTATCTATGAAGTAACTGACTTCCTTCTGATTTTATAGGCTTATAGGTGGAAGGGACTTGCCTTGTGTCAGATGAGACTTTGGACTGTGGACTCGAGTTAATGTTGAAATGAGTCAAGACTTTGGGGGACTGTTGGGAAGACATAATTGGTTTTTAAATGTGAGAACATGAGATTTGAGAAGGTCCAGAGGTGGATTGATATGGTTTGGCAGTGTCTCCATCTATATCTCATCTTGAATTGTAGCTCCCATAATTCTCATGTGTTGTGGGAGGGACCCAGTGTGAGGTAATTGAGTCATGGGGCAGGTCTTTCCCATGCTGTTCTCATGATTGTGAATAACTCTCATGTGATCTGATGGTTTTATAAAGGGGAGTTCCCCTGCACATGTCCTCTTGCCTGCCACCATGTAAGACTTTTTTTGCTTCCCCTTCAACCTCTGCCATGATTGTGAGGCCTCCCTAGCCACATGGAACTGTGAGTCAATTAAACTTCCTTTCTTTATAAATTACCCAGTCTTGGGTATGTCTTTCTTAGCAGCATCGGAATGGACTAATACACTGGCTAAACCACATAATTGAAATAGAAGCTGTGTAGTAAGATCACAAGAAATGTAGAAACAAAGCAGTTCCCAGAGATCTCAGTAGCAGAGATTCATGACATCTTCATTAGGGCACAGTCATGGCGTGGCATTGACTCGGTTCTGACCAACTTTAGTCCTTTTTGGCACTCTACTATGTATTCAATTCTTGGAAAAGATTGATTGATCTTGTTTGGTTCGTTTCCTCATTCTCTAGAGCAACACTGTTGCTGACAGTCCTAACAGAACATTATGAAACGGGAGAGGTAATTTCTTCTGAAACAAATATGCATAGGTGCACTATGCAGGCAAAAGGAGCTGCAAAGGACAAAGAGCAACAGACTCCAGACATGCATACCACATCATCATGAGAAATGTGGATGCTAAACTGAAGACAACAGAGTGACACTGGGCAATTCATACAGGAGAATGACATGAGCAGGTCTGCACTGAAGATAAACACTATGAGGTATGGATTATCGGTGGATCATCCTGAAGGCCTAAAGTTATAAAAGTGAGAGATTGTGGATGGAGATCTGAACAAGATAGTAGTAGGAGGAGCAGAGAGAAGAAAACTGGTTCAAGAGATATTAACCTGTAGAAGGAAAAGGGCAAGGAGAAGCCATATGTATTAGAGCAGCTAGCATATTTTCAGGAACAAAGCAATAACTCAGCAAATATCAATTGATATGACATAAACACAGAACACTATGTCTTAGAAGGTGCTTAGTAAATTTTGGCACTTTTAGACATTCTATGCATTACAACACCTGAATTTTTTCAAATTGCTCTTATTTTCTTTACATAATTCATAAAAATTTCTTTACTCCCTCAATCTTCATAGTTGTATTGCCAAATTATAAGTAAGGATGTTTGCATTTTTAGGGAAAATGTAATTGTTTCATTTGAAGAAGAATCTTTAGGTGAGAATTAAATTGAACATTTAGAATAAATAGTTTCAAACATGCACATGTTGCTTAAAATGCAAGAAGATAGAAAACCTTGGTAGGTGGATATATAAGAGTAACTCTAATAAAATCTTCCAAATTTTATATTTGTTGATGATGATAGCCTTTACGAAGCTCAGATTTCAGCTTTTTTCTCTTCTACAACTGTGACAAATGCAGAAGTATTTTTCACCCATTTTGAGAAAACAAAACAATTTTCTTAGCACACGGAATTTCACAGTAATTAATTGGAAGATATGGAAGTTAATAAGATTTGATATAATCTGATTTGTGTGAATTAAATCATTTTAGTTGTTAAGCTTGTGTAATGGCAGCCCAAATATTAGATAATTCCTTGTTTCTGGAACAAAGTAAGATGAGCAAGGAAAAAAAAAAAAAAAAAAAAAGATCACCAAAATGTGTGAAACAAAACCAAAAGAAAAACATTGTAGAAAAAAAGATTGCTTTAGCATACCAACCTGAGTAGGGTGTTGGGAGTTACGGATGAAAATCTATAGTCATCGCCCTATGCACCACTGTTACAAAAGAAGAAAATGAGAAAGTAGAGTCAGGGCTCAGGAGAGTTAGAATTGAAATACAAATTAAATGTAATCATGCAGTGTATTACCACCTATGCACCTGCACAGCTCAAAAACCCATTTCAGCATAAACACAGCAACGGGCTGTTCCATCTGTAACAAGCTGACCTCAAAAGGGAAAATAAAATGATCTATTTTCACAATTGAAGCGTACTCTTGAGTAAAGAAATGTGATTTTAAGGGCATAGTTGGCACAATGAATTGCAACACAGTGTTGCAATTCAAATGAACTGTTCGTTTGAAAGAATATCATTGATCAATCTCCTTTTATTTTCCTTCCTCTCCTATCCCCTTGTCTTTTTGAACACTGGAAATATAAGATCAAAAATTTGAATTTGAAGGAATAAAACATTAAAACAGAAATGATTCACAATTGATTGAAAATAAGTTTTCCAGTGATGATTTTAAGAACAGTGTATGTAATCATGTCCTATGCTCCAAAGTACAATTGCAATTATTTAGGCAAAAAAAAAAAAAAAAAAAAAAAAATCACCATTTTCCAGTTACAACACCTAAATGGATTTTAATATGAACTCACATGCCTTGTGTATACATGGAGTTAATAACTGGTGAGCATCAAGCACTAGAGAATGATTATTTATTCCACCCTCCCAGGGAAGTTTGAGGATCCTGAAACTTATATATTACATTATGTAACATATATATTACATATAATACACACACATATGTGTATATATGTGCATATATGTAGTCACATACATTCTAGATATATACAATAAAAAAGAAATTGTGGTGCAAAGGAATATTATTCAGACTTAAAAGATAAGAGGATACTTCCATTTGTGACAATATAGATGAACCTGGAGGACATTATGCAAAGTGAAATAAACCAAACACAGAAAGAAAAACACTGCATGACTTTATTTATATGTGGAATCTAAAAACTGATAAATACATAGAAATGGAGAGAGTAGAGAAGTAGTTGTCAGTGTGAGGAGGAGAAAATGGGAAGGGGTAGGTCAACAGGTACAAATTGTAATTATGTAGGATGAACCTATCTGAAGATGCAATGTGCAACAAGAGAACTAAATTTCATATTATACTATATTCAAAAATACATGAGTCAATAATAAAAAATCAATTTGTGTATATATAATACAGTAAATAATTGTGTGTACCTCATACAACTACTTCAGAAATATTCTAGCTAAAAATATCAAAATAGCCCTATGCTTAAAAAAAGTGAAAAAAATATTTTCACATATAACTGTGATGGTTAATACTGAGTGTCAAGTTGATTGAGTTGAGGGAAACAAAGTGTTAATCCTGGGTGTGTCTGTGTGGGTGTTGCCAAAAGAGATTAACATTTGGGTCAGTGGAGAAGGGCTGGAGAAGACAGATCTGCCCTTAATCTGATATGCACAATCTAATCAGCTTCCAGGAAATATAAAGCAGGCAGAAAAACCTGAAAAAGGAGAGAGACAGGGCTTCCTAGATTACATCTTTCTCCCATGCTGGATGCTTCCTGCCCTCGAACATTGGACTCCAAGTTCTTCAGTTTTGGGACTCAGATTGGCTCTCCTTGTTCCTCAGTTTGCAGACAGCCTATTGTGGGACCTTGTAATCATGTAAATTAATACTTAATAAACCCCCATGTATCTATATATGATATATATGTGATGTTGTTCCTATATTTATATAAATGTTGGATTCATTGTTAAAAGACCAGATGGGTGTACAGGCTCCTGGACTACTATATATATATATAAAAAATAAGATATATATATCTTATTAATTCTGTCCCTTTAAGAGAACCCTGACTAATACAGTAACCATTTTCCACTAGTATTCCACTAGTATTTAGGCAGGCAGATACAGTATTCCACTAGTATTTAGGCAGGTAAATACAGTAACCATTTTCTACTAGTACTCCACTAGTATTTAGGCAAGTAGATTAGGATATGTACTAATTAGTAGCAACACTTAAACAAGTGCAATATTGCATTACTGAGATAAAGCACCCTCATTGGAGGCATTGCTCCTTCTTGTTTTTATTAAAATAAAGGAAAAAGAAATATGATTACTAGTATTCATGGGCTTTTTAGCAAGTTTGTTATATTTCTCACATTCTTGATATGTCTGTGATATAAAATATTTCCATTCCAACTGTACCTATACAGGTCACTCATTCATTCATTTTAACATGATTTTAAAGAGAAAGTATTCATTTAAATACTTCTTTGTCAGAAATACATCATCCTCATTGTCTTGAGAAACTGCCCTTTTACAGGTCACCTAAAAATATGAAATTCTGTTTTACATGTGTAACTGAGTAATCAGGAAAAGCTTGGAAGTGAGTTCACTGGAGAGGTAAGTGAACACAAACCTTCATTTCTCTTGAGAGTATCTCCCTAGTGAACTGTAACTTGGCTTCTAATACAGCATAGTCACCGATGGCCATTACATTCAGCTTTTGACTTCTACGACCGGAGTGTGATTGCTAGTAATTATTCAGACTCGTGATCAGTTCAAGTAGTTTAGTTTATTTTTCCCCAGTACCAGCATGCCTACTGGTTGGTTTGACCTCATTCACTCTGATCCCTGGAAGTGCTTCCCACATTGGTGGGTTCAAGCACATTGCTGCAAGCTACCTAAATTCTTAAAGCCTGCCAATGGCCTGCAGTTAAAGCGTTACCACACACTAAAATGGTAAAAATAAATAATCGTTCTTACATGTGGGATTTAAAGCTTCTGCAGGTGCTATATAACGCATCTCCTGTTTTAATGGCCTTGGAAATAAGGCATGGAATTGTCTGGATTTAAGATAGAAAAATCCAGTGAGGTGCTGCTGCCATCATCATACTGACTGACAGCCTGCTGTATTGACCACTCAGTAAAATGGGCTGAACTGACAGCAATGTGCTGGCCACAGAAGATGCTGTTCCTACAGCTGGATTCCTTGTTAAAAGACCAGATGATCGTACAGGCTCCTGGACTACCCAGATTTGTATTGTTTAAGGAATGACCATATGTGTTGACTAACTATGGGAACAGATCCAAATATTTAGCAACAAGCTGATCGTATTGTCACACATGTACCTGCCCAAAAAGGGTTCCACATATAGAGGAAAAATCCTTTCTGCCAACAAAACCTGTGCATTCAGTTACATTTCCCTGGGATTGTGAAAGTCTGGAGACTCTTATGCATCCTAATAGTCCTCCTCCTCCTCCTCCTCCTCCTCTCTTCTTCTTCTTCTTCTTCTTCTTCTTCTTCTTCTTCTTCTTCTTCTTCTTCTTCTTCTTCTTCTTCTTCTTCTTCTTCTTCTTCTCCTTCTCCTCCTCCTCCTCCTCCTCCTCCTCCTCCTCCTCCTCCTCTTCCTCTTCTTCTTCTTCTTCCTTTTTTTTTGAGATGAAGTTTCACTCTTGTTGCCCAGGCTGGAGTGCAATGGCATGATCTCGGCTCAGTGCAACCTCTGCCTCCCGGGTTCAAGCGATTCTCCTGCCTCAGCCTCCAGAGTAGTTGGGATTACAGGAATGCACCACCATGCCCAGCTAATTTTGCATTTGTATTAGAGATGTGCTTTCTCCATGTTGGTCAGGCTGGTCTCAAACTCCTGACCTCAAGTGATACATCTGCCTCTGCTTCCCGAAGTGCTGGGATTATAGGTGTGAGCCACCGTGCCCAGCCTAGTCCTCTGCTTCTACCTGTCAAATTTAAACCATCACTGCCTGTGTTTCTGGTATTTGTCCCAGCAGCATACTTGACAAGTTTCTTCTGTGAGAAAGAGAAAGGATAATATATTCAGAAAGAGCTGTATAGAGGGCTTCAAAGTACCAGTAGTGAGCACACACAGGAATTTATTTCACTTTTATCCTTTGAACTGAACAATAGCACAATATGTAATTTTTGATATATGTAATTTCCATAATATTTCATATTATTTAATATACAACAATTCTACTCCTGCTGTTCCCAAACAGTGCACTGAAACACACTAGGGTGTCACAGAAAATTTACATGGGTACTGTGGGATATTATACAATTTTTAGGTAGACACAGATATTATACAATTTTGCACAACTGTGAGTGTGCAAACTATCAGCCTGATGAAGATAGTGTCAATATTAAATTGCTACATCCCTTCAATGATGTCATTTCTTTGCAAAGCTTGGTTTTCAGTAGTTATTGTGATACAAGTTGGTAGTATGCAAAGTCTATGTGTAACAGAAAATGAGAGTAGGAACGTCCAATCTGATTACAAAATTTGGGAACTTGTTCAGTGCCCAAGTTCACCTGGTGTTAGTACACAAATATTTAAGTGATTTGGGAGAATCTACATAATAAATGAAATATACATATATATCTTATTCATGTATATGAATATGTGAATATATGACATACCTTGTTTTTTTTCACTTTGCTTTATTGTGCTCTGCAGATGCTGTGTTTTGTACAAATTGGAGGTTTGTGGCAAGCCTATATCAAGCAAGTCTTTCGGGGCCATTTATCCAACAACATGAACTCACATCATATCTCTGTGTCATGTTAGGGTAATTCTCAGAATATTTTAGACTTTTTCTTTATTATTATATCTGTTGTAATGATCTATGATCTTTGATGTTACTATTTTAATTGTTTTGAAACACCACTAACCACACTCACATAAAACAACAAACTTAATTTATAAGTGTTGTGTGTGTTCTGATTGCTCCACTAATGGGCCTCTCTCTTTTTCTCCTTGGGCCTCCCTATTCCCTGAGACACAAATATACTGAAATTAAGCCAATTTGTAATTCTATAATGGCCTCTAAGTGTTCAAGTGAAAGACAGTTGAACATTTTTCACTTTATATAAGAACTAGTAATGATTACACTTAGTGAAGAAGACATGTCAAAAGCTAAGATAGGCCAAAAGCTGGGCCTCATGCACCAGTTAGGTTGTGAATGAAAAGGAAAAGTCTTGAAGAAATGAAAAG